ACTAAAAATTTGTATCAAAACGTTACAAGTGTTAACAGAAGTGAGAAAAGAAATAAAACAAATAAGACTGTAGTACGTTATACAGGCACTGCTGTTTCCTTGCAGTCCCTTTCCTAGAATGGATGCAAGTCCGCAGGAACTTTGAAAATAGAGGATGATTGAGACATACTTCACTTTATTACTCTCATTGTTCCCCAGTCCTTGACTTGGGCACTTCCTGTCCCAGCTAGGAGGGCTTTGCTTTAATGTGTCATGAAATTGGGAATGGGTCATACGTGTATTGCTCTGCAAATTTTATCCAACTAATTTAGGCCACGTCCAAAACATTTATGGTCAAACTCAAGATATCCAGTAATTATTTATCTTGGACCTTTCTGGTAGATGAGTCTATGGTGCTCCATGCATCATGGAAGATGGTTCAGGATTGGAGTTTAGCACCATTTCATCCAAAATACATCAGAAGGGATATGTGTGTGTTGTTTTCATTCAAAGGCCTAGAGATTTCTCCTTTTCAATCCAAATTTACCTTGTACTTATACCTGAAGGATCCAGTAGACAGTATCTGTGAAGTTGAAGTTTAGTACCATTACATGCCTCCTAGATCCCTGCCTATTGTGGCTGGTTAAAGCCTGCAGTGATGAGGTGCAGACCCCCCTGAGGGAGATGATCAACTTGTCCCTTTCAACAGGGACCATCCCAGGGGGACTGAAGGAGGTGGTAATTTGCCCTTTCCTTAAAAAACCTTCATTAGACCCGACAGTCCTTAATAATTACTGCCCTGCAAGATGGACCTCTTCCAGTGGGCCTTTGGTTGAGGTGGCAGACGTCCCTCTTCTCTCCTGGCTATCTCCCCTCCAGTGGCCTGGATCCCAATAGGTATCAGGGTACTGCTGATTTTTTAAATAATCTGATTGACATCGGAACTAACTTGTTTGCATGGTATCTTATGGTTTTATTGTTTTAAATGTCATTTTAATAGTTGTTTTGATGGTATTATATTAAGATTGTTGTAAACCACCCTGAAGGGCTGTGGTGGCTCAAGTGGTTAAGATGCTAAACTGCAGACCAGAAGGTCTGTAGCTCAGCAGTCGAGACCCGAATGCCACATGATGGAGTGAGCTCTGGTCCCAGCTCCTGCCAACCTAGCAGTTTGAAAGCAAGAAATTGCAAGTAGATAAATAAGTACCACTTCAATGGGAAGGTAACAGCATTCCATGCGCTTCAGCGTCTAGTCATGCCGGCCACATGACCACGGAAATTTCTTTGGACAGCGCTGGCTCTTTGGCTTGGAAACGGAGATGAGCACCGCAACCCTAGAGTCGGGCTCGACTGGCTTGAAAACAGAGATGAGCACCACATCCCTAGAGTCGGATTTGACTTTCAAGCAAGGGAAACCTTTACCTTTACTAAACCACTCTGAGCCTGCCCATGGGGAGGGCAGTATATAAATAAAATAAAAAAATTAATAAATACAAGGTATTCAAAGCCTGGCCTGTCTTGAGTCACCACCTATTGCAAAGGTATCCATCAAATCCTTTCTAAATTGGCCCTGCCACAGGCCTATCAGCAGCTGTCTGTGGATGATATCAGTATCAGTGTCGAATCCCTGACTGTTACCACTCACTGTGGAGATTTCAGGGTAAAGTGCTTCCAGTCTGGGATTTGCATGGCCCCTGGCATTTTCCAGACCTTCACAGAAGCATGCTTAAGGAAATTTCCAACATCATACCATATTTTGATGATATCCTTATTGTTGATGGATATACTGAGGAACTTGCAACATAGGTGTGTGAAATTCTGCCCAGATTTGCTGATTCCAGTCTCTGTTTTAAACAAAAACATGTGTTCTGAGTCTCCTGGACTGAATTTCTTGCTAGCTCTTTGATGTGAAAGGATGTGCCTTCTCATGCAGTAACAAATGGCCCAGATAGGTGGTTGGGCAGAACAACAGTTTGGATCATTGTCTTGTAGTTTTCTTCCTGACACATCACACCATAAACTACTACAGGCCTGTTGAGGTGTTAATGAACAGGCAGATGACTATTCTGCTAGATTATATGCATCCTGATCTGCCATAGGTGAAGTAAAAAAGTCTCTGTACATATTTGCCCTAGGGGAGAATTTGATTAAAATTGCCAATTTAGTGTAGATCCACCATTTAATTGCAATTGGCCTGAACTGAGACTCACTGTGGTCAAAATCGTGTAAAAACAATTATTAGCAGGTCATACTCACCGTTTTTGCATTGTTTATGTATTTCTTAAGTTATTTTATTGCATTGCTATCTAATTTTGTAATCTTTCTGAAGTCTCAATAAGAAAGGGAGACTATAAACAAAGTAAATATTTTTTAAAAAACCTATAGCTAGGGATAGGCACAACCTGGCTGACAAACTAAAGTTCATCACAAATTTTGGCAAATTCGTGTTTCGCAAAGTGATGTTCATGAACTGAAGAACTGTCACAAACTTCCACAAATATTGGTGCAGTTCATGACAGTTTGTGAAGAAACTTTTATTACTGTTTTATAACCAAAGCAAATGAAGGCTAAAGGCCTTGTGTTTATTGTGTACAGCATTAATCAAACAATAATTTCTTGCACAGTCAAATTCATATGGTTTTCCAGAGATATATTACACAGCCATTCTGTACAGTATAAATTTATCTGTGCTTTTAAAAAAAAACTCCTTACAGATCAACTAAATATAATCCCTAACTGTTGTTTTCTTTCAAACGTATAGAAGATGTGCTTAATTTAACAGCAACTCCAGTCCTGTTTTACCCATTCCACAGCACAAACATTATTAGTAGGGGGGCATATTAATATTTTTTTTAAAAAATAACCCATTTATTACTGAATAATGGTTCCTGTGGAAAATCACTTTTATATGTGGATTTAGTTACCTCTGTTGGGGAATCTTTTTCCTGCTTTAAGCCATATAGCTGAATTTGAGGCAAGCATTTAACTCTACAATATTATACCTGGACAGTTCTGCCAAGTGACTTTAGATGTATGTGATCAGTCTTTCATGAGATGGTATATGCAGACATTTGAATATGCTTTTCACTCCCTGTGCCTGCCAACTGTGTCTTTGTGAGTAGTCTATGTACTGACATTTACGAGTGCCCTTCACTCTGAAGTATTTTCTTGTAAATGTCAAGGAAAACTGAATGGAACAATTCCTACTATTTGAATACACAGAATAAATCTTCTAGAAGAATTTGGGCTCCAGTAGATAGGTGTCACTGCCCTGTGTTTGCACTTCAAAGTAAAAAACTGTAAAAGAAAATAGCATAGTTTGTGTTTTAAATGCCTTGCATGCTTGTATCTCATAAAATAGTTAAATTAGACTCAAAGACTAGACATACTCCCAGATGAAATAATCTAGTAGTTTTGGATCATAGACCCCGCCTCCTCCCACCTCAACCTTACTCAGGAAAACTTCCTTGCCTTGTCTCACTGATAATCAGTAGCTGTGTCTCTCTCCCTTTAGACACACACACACACACATAGACAGTTTCCACCTGTCCAACATGGCCACTGTCATCTCAGTGGCATTTAAAAAAAGCAACTAACATAGTAGTGCCAGCAGATATTAGAACAGGTTAACAACAACAAAAATCTAGCTGCAGAAGGAAACTGTCTCCGCCTAAGGCAACATTCCTTCCAGGCTTCACCTCATTCTACTTATATATTTAGTGTATATCCCCCATTCATAATTGACACTAATTTGATAACTTGGAGTGGAGGAGAATGATTCTCTTTGGCATGTTTTCAGAGCACTAAGCTCCATGTGGAATTCCATCACTTCATTGGGTGTTACAAATCAGCAGTCCTTGTTTCAGAGGAAATTGGAAGCAGTTGGAATAAGCCGTTGGTCTGGTTTTGAAAGTTATGTTCTGAGATAAGGTTTTGGGGGCTTTTTTAAGAAGAAGAAGAACAGCTGCGCCAGAACTATGGTTTGCCCAAGGTCATCCAGCAGGTACAAGTGGAGGAGTGGGGAATCAAACCCGGTTCTCCCAGATTAGAGTCTGTGCACTTAACCACTACACCACTACACCAAACTGACTCTGATTAAGTAGTAATCAAATTTGTCACATATGGCCAAAGGCTGTTAAAATCTAAAATTAGATTTAAAAACACAAAATAACAGTAGTAAAAACAGATTAGATTATGATGATAAGGAACAAAAAGATAACATTAGGATGATGGCAGATTGGGGAGAGGAGAGAATATGTAATGGTTAGGGCATGTGTAGATGCTTTTCTCCCCAGCTGATCAGGAAGCTTAAGTGATGCCATTTCCTTTACAAGGTATGATTTCTCCCAAGGTTTGTGCTTGGAACTGCCAGAGGATTTAGTGATGACCGCAGGTACAGATAGCTTTAAAGGGGGATTAGACAGATTAATGGAGGATAGGTCTACCAGTGGCTACTAGCCATGGGGACTAAAGGGGACTTCGACATTCAGAGGTGGTAACAACATCAGGGTAAGGCCTTAACCTCTATGCTCTGTTCTTGGATCTCCAGCGGAACTGGTTCATCACTGTGTGAGACAGGATGCTGGACTAGATGGACCACTGGTTTGATCCAACAGGATTCTTCTTGTGAGAGATACTGAAAATATTGGTGGACGTAAAAGGGAGAAATATTTTAGTAACTACAGCACAGAGATAGCCTAGATTTTGTAGCATCTCAAAGACCAAGGAACCACGATCTCTGTAATCAAAAATATCTGATTACTGCAGTTAAATCTCCAGTTTTGTCAGGTCCTTTTATCTATTAGTAGTTGTGCTGATATTGATAAGTAACTACCACCAAGAGATACAAACAAGTCATACTGGTTAACTAGTGGAATGTATTCTTGTGCATGGGTCTTGAACCATATTTCTGCTTCTCCTGTTCTGAGTGTTACAGGGCATAACTTGTAGGGATCTGAATGTGATCATTTTTTCCTGTTGCTGCTTTAACTTCACTCTGTTTCAACTTCCTTTTCTTTCAGGCTAAGCTATGTGAACCATGCAGAGGATTTGGCCTCCAAATTACTCCAGTGTTTCCCAAAGAACAGATTGTCAGCACAGGCAGCTCTGAGCCATGAGTATTTCAGTGATCTGCCCCCACGGCTATGGGAGCTAACTGACAGTGAGTATAACAAAACAGCTGAACAGAATAAAGGAAAAGGAGAGAGAGTGTGTGTGTCTGGGTATGTATGTGTAGAAGTCTGTAGCTCAAATTCCATAGGTTGTTTGACACAAGAAGAATGGATTGTCCCTTCCTATCTCTACTCTGCAGTCTGCAGCTAGCTATCTTTATATTTGATTATATGTGCAGCCAAGAGAATTATATGAAATGTCATAAAGAAAAGTGTGTGGGGGGATACAATTTACATATTTAGTGCTTTCCCCCTTCATAACATGCAGCCTTTTTAACTCGCTGCGCACAGGATGATAATCCTGTGGTATTTGATTCTCAAACACTATATGTGTTGTAACAATAGCCCTTTAAAAGGGGAGGGAGCTCAGTATTCAAAAAATCATGGAACACAAAGTAGACAGTTGGTTAATTTACAGGATTTAAATACATGTGAGAAGAACTTGAGTTGGTTTGTATAGTCTGAGAAGGTTTTCAACATTCAAGCAGAAGTAGATTTTTTAACTTCTTTTAACTATTTTAAATTTCCTTTGTATTGCAGGAGTCCAAATTTTTCTTAATCAATATAATAGCATATTTACTTTCAGGTGTTAATTTATTTGTGCCACAATGATGTACAAGCATACTCTTGATCAGTATGTAGTGCTCAGTTTTGAAAGGCACATACCTTTAATGAGGTTTGTTTATTCTTACATCATTTTGCACTGTACCATCTGGATTTTGCAGGCCCCTTGGATAGAACCTTGGAGCTGAGTTCAGACAATACTTTATTTGTATGTGTATATATGGGTAGGTTTGCCAAATGGGGCCGGGGGGCGGGGAATCTCCCGCTTCGGAGGCCCGATTTCCGCCGCGGCACTTCTGGTGACGTGCTGCCGGTGCGTGCGCGCTTTGCACACGCGCACACGCACCCATCAAAACCTCCTGGACACCAGCAAGGCTCCCCTGCTCCGAGGGGTGAGTCGACTTGGCAACCCTATATATGGGTAATGTGTGAGTAGGCACTGTCACGGCTCAGGTGGGGTGTCACCTGACGCTGCCACCACTCTGGTTTTAGGATCCTTTGAGAAGGCCCAGAGCACCCTCCCAAGACCTTCAGACCTCCCTTGTTTGGCCAAAATAAGCGCGAGGACCAGGCAGATAAACAACAAATAAAAGCTTTATTTTTACAGGAGGTCAGTCAAATATAGGGAACAACAAGGTGCAAGAACAATATCAGTAAGGGGTGAAAAGAAACCAAATGCCCTAACGCATCTAAACTTACTGTCCCTAACTCACTGTCTCAAGTGGGCTTCAGTCTGCTCACCCTTCCTCTCAGGATGAGGGCCTCTTCCCTGCAGCAGCCTTCCTTCTGGCTCTGCTCTCTTGGAAGAAAGAACAGCTCTTTTCCTTTACCAGCTCTTTTGTTATAAGTCCCCTTTTTCTGTGATTGGTTAAAATTGGTGCCAAAACCTCTCAGGGGCTTTTGGGAGTTGTAGGCCAGGCCTCCTCCCACTGCTACTCAGGCTCCCTGGGCCTACTAGGCCTCTAGTTGCACAGCCCAGATCATGACAGGCACTCATAGGTTTTGACAGATGACATCCCCTGTAATCATGTAGACTTGAATGTTGCTGCTGCTAAGTTATAGCTCTGCAGTGCATGGAGTTACTTATTTGTACTTAAGAGAATGACTTCGGAACAGATAGGATAATTAGAGGAAATGGAATATGTGTGAGTTATTGGACCTTATTTTTCACTGTCCCTACAACTAATTCCTTCGGAGTAACATATTCCTTCATTGCTTACTGTAAACTGGTGTTTCCAATCCTAATTTTTTCTCTGTTTTTATTTTGACAAAGTCGGACAGAAGAAATGAAGGTTGGCTGTCAAAAGCAGCTGTCTTCAGAGTTTCTGTTGCCTCACTGCTTTGTGGATGAAAGCACTAGTGGATTCTAGTAAGAGCCACATTTTTCCGTTGGCATAAAAGTATCTTAATCTACCTCAAGAAATCTGCTTTTAGGACAAACCTGTTCTTTTTCAAAAACTGGAAAATTATTGCCTCTCTTTAAAGACTGTATTTCCCCCAGCAAATATGAATACCTTTTCCGCATACCTTATAAAACCCAGTTTCAATAACATATATCCTCTTAGTGACCCATTTAATCCTTCTGTCTATGTCATAATTTCAATCAGAATCACTGTAAATGATCCTAAAGTGACTGGCCCAACAAACAACTGGGAGAGAGCCTGGGCTTTTTGGAGGACTTAGAACTTTTTTTTACATTAACAAAAAGAAAAAAGAAACACAAAATGGTTTGATGAAAGCTGAATATGTTCCAGGAGCCCAGAATGTTAGGAGCAATTCAGAGTTGGCTAAAAGGAAAAGCTGTGGGGGTGATGGAGAAAATCATCCAGTTAAAGTTATTGATTATTTATAACATACTGCAGGAGGTTATCTCAGCAGAGGAGATGGGATTTCCAAGTTGTGCCCTCATGTGATTTTTTTGTGGGTTCCAGTTTGTGTTCCCAAATACACAAGTGCATTTTAATTTTGCTGAAAAGTTGTCTTGCTAAAAGTATGGTAAGGTATGGTTCATTAGTTCTTATATGGGGGGGGGCAGTTTTGTTTTTCTGTTTAGTCAGCAGGTAAAAGGGGTAACCAGTCCATCACTCTGCTTTGGTGACATCTCAATTTTGTCTAACTGTATGGTTTAGTCTAGTCAAGATTTTGATAGTTTATGAATTCTGTAGTAATACTTTTCAGTTAATATGGACTTATTACCCACTTGCCACTTAGTTTATCAGTTGGTGGTTAAATCCAGTCCTATCAGTGAAGTAAATGCCTACACATTATCACTATGCAGCAGGCTGCCAACAGAGACAGTCTTGTCCTAGTCATTAACAAGCATAATATATGCAGAACACCAGAGGGGAATTAAAACCACAAAAAAATACCTCAGGGTGGTATTTTTAATATGAGAATTTAATTTGTAATTTCACAGATTAAGAATTTTGGCTGCATTAATCCTTTTATCAGCTCACAGCAGGTTATTTGCAGAAGCATAACCATAAGGCGATATTCATTGGCAGAAACACGTCTTTGCATAACGTTAAACATCAGGAGCAGTGAAACCTTTTGAAGGGGGAGAATAAAGATAGGGAAAAATCATTATATTTTAAGGCAAGATTCTGCTAAATGCCTCCAGTAGAAAAAAATTTCAGTTACAGCAACATTATTTCTGTGTTTAGTAGATAATCATTATGGAGCATAAAACCAGATGCAAGAAAGGACAATCCCTGTATCAAATACTATAATTGTTTTCATTTGGTATGCATGGGTAGAAATTGCAAACAAATTTAATGAGGAAAAGAAATGAAATATATTTTGGAGTTTGGAGGAAAAATTAATTGATTTGATTTAGGTGAGTAGTTATGATGCTTGATGCTTTGGTCAAGATTTCATACTCAAATATTTTATTAATTAAATTGTGGGTACAGTATGCCCAGTAGAACTCAACTCAAGAAGCACAGATCCGTCTTCAAAGGAACTGATTACCATTTCCATCACAGAATTAATAGGAAGATGATGCCATACACTGGCCATCTAACTCAATATTGTGTGTCCGTACACCTACACTTTCTTCTAACACCAGGCAAAGAACCCACAAGTGAAAAATTGTTATTTTGGTAAGTAAAAAGTATAGTGGATGAACCCCATAATTCCTTTTCAAAATTATTCCAGAACAGAATTTTTGTGCATGTTGGCAGTTCTGCAATGTATAAAATACAAAACCACTGGGACTAAAATTAATATTGTGACATTCCCATGGAAGTTACCCCCAAAAGCTATGCCTGTGGTGACACCCATAAATTGTATGTAACATTTATTCAGATATTTAGTGCTGGTTGGTAGATCCAGTATATGATTTAAAACAGTGCACAATGGTAAGAATTTTTTAATCACCATGTCTGCTATGTGGAAAATAGTCACATGAAGAACTTTTTGATGGCCTTGTGTTTATATCAGCTTTAGATAAGACCCTCCAAACCTATCCTAAACATAACTAATATACAAAACAGGGCAGTAAATTAGTCCACTTCATTATACTCATCTTGCATAAGACTTTTAAAATCAAAATTTTGTAATATTTTGAAATGTATATTACATGGGACACACTTCACCTGTGGTTAATAGACAATTACTGTCAAAATTGGCCAGTGGAAACCTCCCACAGACAAATGTAAATGGTAATCATTTTTCTGACAATAATATTATTATAAACTGGCATCATACTGTACAAAAGCTGGTTTTATGTAGTGTGTCCACCAATTATATAACAATATGATAATTTTATGTTGGGCAAGGAGTACCCAACCTTCAAAACTCCAGAACAGTTGCCTTTTGCATACAAAGGTAGTCTTGGTTAACACACTTGGTTTTCCTAAAAGTAATACAAAACTAATTTTGAGGTGCAGAAACATACATACATAAGTGTGCCTCATTGCTAATTGATAATACTTGGCTGTTTTTCTTAAATGAACAAGTATCTTATAATAATGGTTGCATTCAGAGAACCTCACAAATCATGGCTGATTTGCTTTGGATATCTTCAGGCTGTCCCTTATTTCTTTGCCTGTGGCTGAAGACCGATTTATGACAAATCACAGTTTGTTATGATGACTGAATCAACCAAAAGAACAACATGTAGTTTGTTGATTTCAACCTGTAGTTGGTTAATTCCAAAGCAGAATTACAATGTATATGGAATCCTGGTTTGTAAATCAAAAACAAACTACAGTTTGTGATATCTTATATCACAAGAAATCATGGTTTGTTAGGTAAAGGTAAAGGTTCCCTTGCTCGAAAGCCAGTCAAGTCCGACTCTAGGGTTGCGGTGCTCATCTCCGTTTCCAAGCCAAAGAGCCAGTGCTGTCCGAAGACATTTCCGTGGTCATGTGGCCAGCATGACTAAACACCAAGGTGCACGGAACGCTGTTACCTTCCCACCAAAGTGGTACCTATTTATCTACTTGCAATTTCTTTTGAACTGCTAGGTTGGCAGGAGCTGGAACTAGAGATGGGAGCTCACTCCGTCATGCGGCAACTCAGGTCTTGAACTGCTGAACTACTGGCCTTCCACAGCCTGCAGTTCAGCGTCTTAACCAAACCAGTAAATCTTCAGACTACAAGCCATACATGAGGGAAGGAGGGGAGCATGCAAGGCTGCCCTACCCTACCCAGTCAAACAGAGAGTTAGTGCCAAAGAGTGCAGAAATCCCTGGTCTGGTGTGGTTAAAAATTGCCTTTAGAGAACTTAAGAATCAGTTAAAAACTTAAGACCAATACTGGTATTTCAAGAAAAGGTGTTTGGGTACTGGAGTGTACCAGCCTTCTGGAAACCGAAAGAATTAGAGAATACTCAAAGGAAGTGTACTGAAGTGTTAGGGGAAAACACTGGAACAAAAGCCTTTCAACATAAAGATTTAAGTAACTCTGAATAGCTTAAGAAACTCTCATTAACCTGAAACATAAGAACTAAAGTCTGTTCATGTACTGGTTTTACCTCAGAATTTTACCCTTGATTTCTCCTTGCCTTTCCCTTCTATGTTTTTTTTAATTAATATTTTATTAAGTGTACATGTATCCATATATTTTATACAATTAATAACACTTCATTTTCTGTATATTCTCCTATATCAAGAAATCATATTAAACATTGAAAGTATATAAATAATCTCCATCCTCGTTATCTTATTCCCTTTCTTTACCCGCTTAACCAAACCACCGTACAACTTCCTCTAATTCATATTCTAAACATTATTAGATTCTGCCTTAATTTATCTTAGACTTCTTATCTTCTTTAGCTGGATTCCCTCCATACACACTTATTTTATACTTATACTGTGTCTTCTTCCAAACCTAGAAGGAAAAGTTGAACAGGGTTGCCTCTAAAACTGGGTGTTGCAGAGAAGCCTCTCCAACAGAAGGAAACCCTCCTCCCTCTGATTGGAGGTCTTGGGGGGGCACACCCTTCCCCTCCTTGCTATGCCATTGGTTTAACAGTTCCATTCCTATTTTCTATTTTCCTTTATTATTATTATTCACATTTATCCTATCTATTGACCTTATCGTACTCTACATACTAACATGCTAACTCTACCTTACTTTATGGATTGCTTTTTACCACTCTGCTACCAAATATAATATCTCAGTTCAAACACTCTCATTCCTTAATTTAGTTACTGCGTCTACTAAATTTTTCCCTGTAATCTCATTAAAAGCTGTAAACATTTTGTTTTCCAAATTAATGACTAGATGTCCGAGGGGCAGCCATCTATACTGAATTCCTTTATCTCTGAGGATTTTCGCTGTTTCCCTGAGACGTCTTCTTGCAATAATTACCTCCACTAGAATGTCAGGAAACAGAGTGTCCTCCAAGCTCAGTCCTTGCTTGTCTCTCGCGATTGCAAAAAGTTTATTTTTCGTCTGCAGCTGTTTAAACTCAACAATTATGTCTGGGGAAGCATTTTCAGGGGCCTTTTTGGAGATGTTTAGCTGGAAGGCGGAGCTGATGATCCCCTCAGGAGACGCTGGTTCTCCTGCTTTGAGAAGGATTTGAGTCAGCCATTTGTTTAAAGCTGCAGAGAGATTTTCTTTTTCACCAAAGTTTACAGATACTCCACGTAGTTTAGCTTTCTTCTCTCTCAAGTTTTGTTTCCTGGAGTATAATTCTATTCTTAGCCCATATCTCAAATTCCTTAAATACTTTGATGTCTTTTGTGTTCTTTTTTGCCGACTGATGTGTTGATTCAGCTTTCCTCTATGTTGTTTCCAACGCTGCAGTAAGTTTGTCTAATTTCTTATTTATTGACTCAATTGTTTGTTTGAGCTTTTGAAATTCCTTCTTTAATTGTCCAACCTCTCCACTCAGTGACTTTATATCATTCTTAATTTCATTTCTTATCTCTGTTAGGGCAAGCAATAACACAGTCTGTTCACTTTAAATGGGGTTACTACCCTCTGCCGCTATTTCTTCTAACAGAGAAGCCTCCAGGCCTGAGTCATCTGAGTGTTCTATGTCAATATTGCTCTTCTTAGGGTGTCTGTAAGGAGGATTTTTGGCAGCTTTCTTTGCTCTACTTCTTCCCATACCTGGCATTGATATTTTATTCCAGTCAAGGCTGTGTTTTCTGTAAGCAGAGCTCTAATCTTCCGCAGGATTAGCAGGAGCTGGAAGGGATGCAGCCAGCCGGAAGCTCAACTGCCACCACCACCCTTTCCCCTCTATGTTGAATAAAATATTCTGTTAATTTGAAATATAAAAACTTTTCAAGTGCCATTTAAGTTGTATAAGTTAAAGGGGGCTCCCGTTACTTCCCTCGGGTTCCTGGGCTGAGCAAACACCCAAAATATTATACTGGAACAAAGTAAGGCAGCCTGAATACTTCAGGAAAGAAGAAAACAGACAGCTAGGGTGGCTCACTCACAAAAGGGAAAGAAAAACTGAGGGAAAAATCTTGCCTCTGCAGGAGGGTAATGGATGGGGCTGTCATGCCAAACTCACAAAGTTGTTGTAAGGATAAAATGAAGAAGGGTAAAATGTTGGGATTATCAGTGAGGTAAAAATAAAGTAATTAAACATAAATGTTGCCCTCAGCAGATCTGCTTTACTGAATAGTTCAGTTGGAGTCATCTTTATTAATTTCTCAATTTTTAGGGAAATAGGGTGAAGACAGTTGTATGTCTTTGTGGTTATCATCTGTGTTGGTGGACTTAAAGGGGTTCATTGTAATGTTACAATATTTTTTTCCTATAAATCTTTTCAGTGAAAATTGAACCATCTTTTTATTTTCAGCTAATTTAATACAGGTACACAAAATGCCAGTTCTACCCATAAAAATCATAAAGGTTAACCTGTCAAATTAGGGTTGCCAGATCCAGGTTGGGAAATACCTGGAGATGTGGGCAGTGGAGCCTGAAGAGGGCAGGGTTAGGGGGGGAGGGACTTCATATAAAGCCATAGAGTCCGCCTTCCAAAGCAGCCATTTTCTCCAGGTAAACTGATCTCTGTTATTTGAAGATCAGTTGTAATCCCAGGAGATCTTCGGCCACTACCTGGAGGTTCAGTAGAACAAACACCATGTGGTAGTTCAATACATATTTTTTTAAAAATCCAGTATATAACACACTATAAAGACAACACACTGCAACAGCTGAATATAGTACTATCCCAATACAGTATGACTTATTACACGTGTAGTAAGGTTCCCAGCTGGTACAAAATGGTCTGAAGATCCTTTACAACAAAAGTTCAGGAAGATTCCAAGTGGTCAGCACCCTATTCCAGAGTGGCAGGGGTTTCCTCAGGACCTCATAAATCATCAACAGAACCACCTTATAACAATGGAAGTTGAAGTAAAATACACATCCAAAATAAATCAAACAGAAATCATTCCTTGTAATAGATAACTTACCCAAACCTTTAAACAATTCAGCCTAACAGTACACAGTCGCTTATTCCTGAGTGTGACCACTTACTAGTCAATTTCAGATCAGCCAAAAGGTTCTTAGGAGCAACTAGCACCCATAATACTTTTGAAGACTTTTGAAGACTTTTGAATTCACAGCTGAAGCAAATAAACACAGCATGCCAAATAACAGCAGGGTCCTCACAAGAATAACAGTCCCTCTACAGAAAGCTCAGAAGGTTTACAAAAAAGGTGCAAAGTCAGTGTTGGCATTTAAGCCATTGGGTATACAGGTGTCCAATTTGTGAATAAAGTATGTCTCTTTTTGCAGCAGTATTTTGGATACATTTTCCTTATTATAGGTATGTGAATAGTAATGATAAATAACACAATATGTTAACTTCTCGATGGTATGTTTTGCCTCAAATCAATGGCTTACAATAGGGGCTTCCATAATTTTATTTTTTATGTGAGAACGAGATTACAAAATCCTTGTCTTTACTGATCTTAGGCTCACTCATATATATAAACACTTGTGAAATAAGTCATACTGTATTGGGATAGTACTATATTAAACTGTTGCAGTGTGTTTTCTTTATAGTGTATTATGTACTGGTTTTTTAAAAATTGATGTTGTATTGAACTACTACATGGTGTTTATTCTGTTGAACTCCCTTGTTCACCTTGGATTCATTATTTGGTCCCTTAAATTCATTATTTACCACCTGGAGGCTGGCAACCTTCTATCAAACAGATATATGTCTTGCCATAAACATTCAATCAAGAATACAACTGAAAGTAGAATCCTTGCCAAAATGCCAGACGATTTATGGGTTGCATCCAGACTAAAATTTCTTCACAGTACAGCCCAATGATCTCCCCAAAATGCTGCTCCTGGGGGATAGTGGAGCCTGAGGAATGACAGGAGAATTGGTGGAAACAGCCAGTTTAGTCTGAGTCCAACACTATGTTTACAAAATGCAGCCTCTATTATAATACATGTCTAATTGTTCCCATGGAAAGGCATTCTCATTTCCTCAGTTCTTTAACTTGAAACTCCTTCTAAGTGTTCAAGAAGCATAATATGTACACTTGAGGTTTTCAAGACAATTTGCATAAAATATGGTCAGGATTGATCATAGGGTGTAATCTTGATATATGGGGTAGTAAATGTATCTTGTTTTTGATCTGTAACAAACCAAGTCACAGTGTCTCCCATTGGTGTGTGTGTTTTCAAAGCAAAGTTGTACACATTTCAGGTACAAGTGTGGAGGAAATGAATGCATTTGTAGGGCATCATAGTCTTACCAGCTTGGAGAAAAAATAGTAACCTGAATTCCATTTTTTTCCAACAGTGTCCTCTATTTTTTCTGTATCGAATGTAAGATTACATCCAGAGGCTGGAGAAAGCATGAAAGTCTTTGGAAAAAACAATATTTATGGCAAAGGTTTATCAAACATTAAGCACTGAGAAGCATTTTGGTTTCCCACATACAATTCAGGTAAGAGTGCCTCTTCTGAAAGTGTTGTTTTTAGGAGAAACTTTTTCTACTTGGCCAAATTAAATGGTGGCAGCAGCATTCTACTTACTATAGCTGTCCAAAGAAATGGAAAGGGAGTT